GCTGCTGCTGATGATGATGATGATGATGATGATGATGATGATGAAGATGATAATGTTTGATTCCACCCAGACTTCATCAACTCATGCTATACGGAAGTTTGACCATTGTCCCCCTTCGCCCCTCCCTCCCCCAATTAGTTTTGTTACGTATGTGCGACAAAACATCATTATCATTACAGAATAACGATTTGACACGAAAAGGCCTCATGCTGAGCTTGGCAAGTATTGGTTTAAAGCATTACAAAGACACACCCTGCTGAATAAAATAAAACCCAAGGAAGTAAAATACTACGGTCACTTAAAACGACACGAGACCATTGTGAAAGAGGTGCTTGAAGGAAAGATGTGGGGCAGGAGAGCCAGGGGAAGGCGAAGAGTAACATGGACGGCCAACGTAAAAACATGGACTGGAATGGTTTCAGCAGAAAGTGCAAAGGCAGCTCGTGACCGTGAAGGATGGAAGGTCATTACACGTCAACCTCTGAGTCAGAGATGACACCTCCAGGTATCCAGGTACAGGTATCTGGCTCAGTTTTGATAAAGAAGATGTATTTATGATAATCAAAACCTCTCTATCTCTCCCCCTCTCTCTCTGTCTCTCTCAACCTCTCTCTCTCTCTCTCTCTCGCCCCTCTCTCTCTCCCGATCCCTCTCTTACTTTCTTTCCCTCTCTTTCTCTGCCCCCCCTCTCCCAGTGTGCTTCTCCCCCCCCTCCTCTCTTTCTAATCTATTTCTCTATTTCTCTCTCCTCTAGTCTCTCTCTATTATCTATTTTTCTACCCCCCCCCTCTCTTTCTCTAATCTGTTTCTCTACTTCTCACCCCCCCCTCTCTCTCCTTTTCTCTCTTTCTCTAATCTGTTTCTCTATTTCTCTCCCCTCCCCCTCTCTCAATAACCTGTTTCTCTCTTTCTCCCCCCCCCTCTCTCTCTCTTTCTTTGATTTGTTTCTCTATTTCTCTCACCCCGTCTATCTATCCGTTTCTCTGTTTCCGTCTCCGCCCATCCCCACCTTCCACATACAAGACACTTGATTGATAGTATCGCACGGGGCATGCTGACCTCAGCAATCCAACAAATTAAAAGCAAACAATTTCACGCTGTCTGTATTTATTTAAGTTCGAAAGAAACGTAATATATGCACGACGAACATTATTCAACGCGGTAAAAAAGCAGAGCAGCGGAGTTAATAGTTAAGACGCAAGAACTGGCTTTTATTTGATTTTTGGGGTTTTTTTTGGGGG